ATATTCAATGGTAGTAAATATAATATATAGATATACGAATCACACATTTAACGTCAAATCACGATGATATATATATATATATATATATATCGGTATACATATATATACACATATACATATATATATAACAATATTATACCTCGTGCATGTCTAATTACAGAAACAGAAAATTGGCTTTGAATACTCGATCGTTTCCTAGGTATGCCTAAATTTATAGACTATTATTAAGTAACTGGTTAACATACATACATCCATACCCCTCTTGGCAGTCGATTAGCTGTTCTATCGAGTTTTTCGATAGCACAGACACCAATATTGTCATGATTGACGATCACCATGGGAGATCCGCCTATATGGCAATCTCGCTCGGAATTGGAGGCTAATTATGCTACATCGGAAAAGAGCCAGCAGCTCATCCACATCAGTCTAGCGGCGTCGATATAACCGCGTCTCGAGCCGACGTTTATTCTCGCTCGGAACATTTGACGATCCGAACGTGCTGATACTCGTTGTCAGTAAAACTCCGAATCAGAGCTGTGTTGAGAGTCCACGCCATTCAGGTATACCTCCAACGTGTGCTGAATAGCTGGCGAGTATTGGGTGGTTTCCCCATTTTGACCTAACAAAAGTAGCACAGTCTTATATATTGTACGCACACATTAATATATATATATTTTTACAATAGATAAAATGAAATATTACCCTGCGCGGAAAGAATAGTCGCTAAACACTTGGCCACTGCCGGATTTGGAGCACAGGCTAACGCGGGCGTGAGTCCATCAGCATCGACAGCAATGACACTCGCGCCCAATTGCAATAATCGTCGTGTAATCTGGACAAAATATATGTATTTCTCAGAAAATAATCTATTACGTTTCTATAGTATCGTGCGACGCTCGCATTCGAAATTAACCATAATTTGTGGTAATTGAATAATCAAAGTGCGCACCATAAACATATGAGAGAGGTGTAACACAGATCAGAAGTCTAACGTAAGAAGAAAAAGAAGAAACATAATTTCAGCTTACCGTCACTAAACCATTTCTTGCTGCCAGATGCAATGGCGTTCTCTGCTGCTTATTGATCATGTTAATAACAGAAACGCGCTGCAATTGTGATGTATTCTTGTCGGTATCAGAGCTGCCAAGCGACTCAATCCAATTTAAAAGCAACGACGCCGCGGCGGAATGACGTCTCTGACACGCTAGATGCAGTGCCGTATTCTTATTGGAGTCGACAGCACGTACGTCAGCTTTCCATTCGAGCAATAATTCTACGAAATACACCTTATCAATATAGGATTACCTCGAAAATAAAATAAACATATAACTGCGTTAAAGAGCGTTAAATTACCAATAGCGTTGCACTGTCCATTAACAGCCGCGCAAAGAAGTGGCGTCCGTCCGAAATAATCAGTCGTCTCGAGACCGGCTAATTCCGGCCCGACGGAGTTCAGAATTAATCGCGCGCACTCAACGGACCCTGCGCTCGCCGCGATATGCAGTGGTAATAAGCCACACGATGAATCCCTTGGAGCAGCAACCGCTTGTCCGCCGAATTTGTTGATCAACAAGTCTAAACAGTGCGCAGATCCCTGATATACAGCACAATGTACGGCAGAAAATGGATTACCTGTGATAATTAAAAAAGTGAGCTTGACATATTACGTTGGATAATCATCTTCAAAGAACGAGAAGCTACATGCCTTCCAAGGAATCAAACACGTCATGATTTAAAAGATATTCCACACAATTCGAGTTGCCATTATAACAAGCCCAGTGGAGTACCGTACAGCCTTGATCGTCCTTCAAAGCCGCTGCGGTTGGATCGGCTTTAACAAGTGCAGCTAAAGCGTACAATCTATAAACAAACTTGAAATGTAGAAAAGTTTTAAATCGCGACAAAAAATTTCGTATAAACGTAATTTCTCACCTGCCGCAAGCCGCTGCTAAATGTAATGGACTTTTACCGTTCACATCTTGCACAGCCACTTGAGCGCCATGCTTCAATAACAGTTTCACTAGCTGATTATCGCGTTCGTTGATCACAGCGCGAAATAGTGGCGTATGCTTATTGACATCTGGTAAATTGCAGTCGGCCTTGTACGTCAACAATAGCGTCGCACACTCCGGAAAGTTGTTCGCTACTGCCAGCGTCAAAGCAGTGCGTTGTTTGGAGTCGTAACAATTTACCACATTGGGATCATCCATGTCCTGCAGAAGAAGAGCTAGGCAATCTGCATGACCTGTGGCAGCAGCACAATGCACAGGCGTACGTTTCGTAACAGAATCCTGGAAATACAATGATATTAGTGTTACGCGTACAAATGTCCGCTTACCAAGCGAAAAATTCAGGTTCTTCTCACCTGTACTGCCACAGAAGCGCCAAATCGCAACAGAAGTATGATACACTGTTTATGCCCCTTATAGGCAGCCAAGTCTAACGGCGTCTTTCCGCTGTCTTCCTTGATATTCGTATTAGGGTACAAGGGCAGGAGTAGTTGCAAGATCTCATCGTGACCGTGATACGCCTGTTAACCCTTACAGGGACAGTGGGACAAATACGTCCCACCTTTTTCTCCTTAATCTTTTTAATGTTTTTTTGATATTTAATTACTAATATGCACATATTGATATATAATATATATACTTATAATAAAAACTTAAACTAAAAAAAATTCATTTCCTAATAATATGTTAATTCATTAAACAATATGCTTTCAGATATAAACAAATTAAAAAAAAAAAAACAATTTTTTTTAATTAATCGAACTGTACATTCCTGTACAATTTACCGTATGAATCCGTCATTTTAAATTAAAAAAAATTTCATTTATATTAAGATTAATTTTGCGAATTACGAATACGGATTCATATTTTATTGGTATCGAATTTTTATTTAAATTTGCATATCCGTTGCGCGCGCGTTTACGTACCGCGAGATGTATTGGAGTGAGTGCTGGTAGAGATGGCTCCTGGCCGGTCGAAGAGTTGAGTGAAGTGGTCAAATTCGAAGGCGACGACGATGCATTCAAAAGTGCTTCTAGTGCCGCTTTGTTGCCACCCGCCACTGCGTAATGAATCGCAGTAAATCCGCGTTTATCGCGTAAACGCGGATCTGCCCGATGTTGCAGCAAGTACTGCACGCATTTGAAAGATCTATATGAAATTAAAATAAAATCATATAAACAAATAAATTTAAGAAATTGACTTACACTAGAGAGAAAATTATACTGACTGAGCATTAGAATTCGATGCCGCTGCAGCCAGGTGTAATGGCGTTGCGCCATTCACGTCTTGAGCATTCGAATCGCTACCGAATCCAACCAAAGTGAACACGCAAGGGTAATGTCCTTGACATGCAGCATGATGAAGAGCCAATCGATTGTCGTTATCGACAAGACGGAAATTAGCACCGCTAGACAACAGCAGATCTAAGCAGTCTACGGAACCCTGTTTAAAAAAAAACCCAATATATTGTTTCCCCTTTGTTACATATTGATATATACTATTAAATTAAAAAAATATTAATATTACATTGATAAAAGATTAAAAGCGATACGCTACCTTAAATGCTGCCAAATGTAAGGCTGTCCTGCCACCGATATCCCGTGCGTCAATTCGTCTGCTATCGAGTTGCAATAATTTTCTACAAACCTATGGTATAATAAAACCAAATCAGGCATTAAATTGTCATAACATCGAATGTAAGCTGCTTTTCTTTTAAAAGATAATATACAGGTGTTATTGTATCTTTATCACTTATCAAATGCAAAGAAAGATAAAACAATGTTTGCATCGTCTGTGTTTCCCAAAAGGAAAGTAACTGAAGTATAAATACTGAAAAAATATGTAACTCACCTCTATATGTCCCGCTAGGCAACTCAAATGCAAAGGTGTGCGTTGCTGTGCGTTGCGTGTAGCTGGAGATGCAGCGCTTTCCAATAAAGATGTCGTCAGACACTCAAAGCCAAACCTGTAATTTAAAATTTTGTTCTTATAATCTCGTTCAAATCACGAAGCACTATATCTACAAAGACAGATGATTTACCAGGCAGCAATATGCAACGCTGTATTTCCATTTTTATCTCTCGCATCTGGAAAAGCTCCTGCGTCTAACAACGTTTTGGATCTCGTAAATCTTCCGTGGATCGCAGTCATATGCAACGGTGTACGACCGTCTTCCGACTGAACGTTAACCTTTAACCCATTGTAGATCAGCATCTTGAAACAGTGAACACCATGTACACTAGCAGCAGCAACGTGCAACGCGGTCTGCCCTCGATAATTTACGGCCTCTGTCGTGAAAGACAAATACAATGTTTATTCAAATGTTATAAATTGAGGTATTCAGAATTCTGATAATAACCCACCTAAATTAACACGATTAGCTATAAGTTCCTTGATCACATCCGGACAACCATTCAAACATGCGATATGCAACGGTGTATTTCCATACACGTTCTTGGCCTCGATATCACTGCCAGCTGTGATTAAAATGTACACACACTCTACATTACCAGAAGCAGCTGCTGCATGTAATGGGGTATATAAATCTCGATCCTTAACATAAAAATACACACAATATTTATATCTAGAATAAAAAAGTTATAAAAAAAGTTTTATAACAAATTAATACCTTAACATCCACTTCAACGCTTTTGGATATTAGCGCTTTCACAATTTCATTATGACCTTTGTATGCTGCAAAATGCAAAGCCCTTCGGTCTTTCTTATCGGAGGCGTTTATCGCGCAACCAAATTGCATTAAATATTCACACATTTCAAGATGCCCGTTATACACCGCATGATGAAGACATGTTTTCCCGCCTCTGCAGAAATTAAAAATTCAATAATCTATATGTATGTATTTATAATATTTATTAATAATTTAAAAGTAATTATAACGCTCTATGTGTATAAAACATTATAAATAAAAATAGGGCAAAAGAGTCAATTAGTTAAAAGTAACAAATTTAATTAAAAAATTCATAATATACAAAATAACTAAAACAAATGTTTCGACTCATCATGAGATAACTACAATATATGATACAATCGAAAGATTCAAAAGTATGCACCTGTCTGAGACATTGATATTTAACAAATGTGGCATTAAAAGTTCTACACATTGCACAGCATTATTTGCTGCTGCTACATGAAGAGGTGTCTGCCAACTACGATCTCGAGCATTTACATCCGCTTTGTATCTCAATAGAACGTCCACTACATTATAATTTCCTGAGCAACAAGCTCGGTGTAAGGGAGTTAACCATTTTTTATCTTTGCTATTGACTGCTGCACCATTTAATAAGAGAAGTTCTACAATAGCGGTGTCTCCCCTAAAACACAAATGCCATTTTAGCTGTATAATAGTTAAAACAACTCATAGTCTATTTTCTACTAGTATACATTAACTTTAACTCTCAGTTTAACTTACTTTATGTTTTTTAGATTTAAAAATTAGAAACAGATAAAGAATAGACTATAATATCTTGAGTTGTGATCTATATTAAATTGAACCTTTTGTGTGTACTCTAATATATAAATTAATTTTAATCTAGATTCAACTAAGTTTTCAGTTTTTTTAAGTTTTAAAAATTAGAAAAAGATGAGTAAGTTGAGAAGAGATTAAAGTTAATCTATACTGGTAGAAATGGACATTAGTAAACTTCTAGCATTTTTATTAACTAAGATATTAACCTATATGCTGCCGCATGTAAAAGAGAACGCTGCTCTTTGTCTTGCCAGTTAACATCCTCTTTTTGCGATAGCAATGTACGAACTGCCTCCACATTTCCATGAAATATAGCTTGTAACAAAGGAGGCTATAAAAACAAACAAATTCATTTTTCTTTGTCTCATCTAGATTAAAGAATACTTATATCTTCATAAAATATTCAACAATGCAGATATAATCTAAACTTCGTTAAAAACACTTGTAGATCATAAAAAACACAGTAATATGTAGTACATAATCAAAATATAAGCTAAATCCACTATGATGCCTCATGCAGCCTCCAAAACAAAGAAACTTGATTTAAAAAAATTCTCAAGACAAAATATACATACAATAGACAATGTGTATTTAGGCTTCACAGGGAGAAGGATAGAGAAGCTACAGAGGCGTACAAGAAATATTCACGCCAGACTAAAAAAAAATACAAATCTGAGACGGAAGTGCTAACCTACGCTTCCTAGATAAACGTGATAGCTTAAGAGAGCCCGAATAAGAAGACGCAACGTACCTCCTCGTGGAGATCTTTGAAGGTATTCATATTGATTAGTGTGATCCTAGGGTTCTTCGTGTCTACGTTGTCGTTTCTCCTCATAGAAACATCGTCAACCGATCGCAAGCAGGTGAGTCATCAGGTCCACGGACACAAAATCCTCTCAGCTGCTGCCGCCGCCGCAACCGACTGGACGAGCGGTCTGGTCAAGTTCAAGTGCGCGTGTCACGCGTTCGATACGCGTCTCGTTCACAGATAGATCGTTTCAACAACGAGCGGTGCGGCATCGGACTCGTCGCGTTCTACCGTTGTGTATATTTACGCGCACGTGGCCGCTTTGTCCGACGCGCTCCTCACGTTTGCCGCCATCTTCGACGTTGTTGTGCGCGAGCTTGTAAACAACGGCGTCGGATGCGGCCTCTGGAGACCTTGCGGCTGCAGCGGAGAAAGGGAGGTTTGCCTCGACTCTCGATGAGAAACGTAGACCGGAATACAAAGGAATTGTATGAAAGAATAGACCAAGGAAGGTGAGAAAAAAGTGGATCATACACGATTGCGGTATTTCATTGTGTTTACCTGAAACCAATGATTTTTATTTTTCATAAATGCAGTGCTTTGGTTACATAGAAAATAATTGTGATTATAAGTAAATAAGTATACACTGTAATTGTGATTATAAATAAATAAGTATATACTACAATTTAACTTGAAAAAAAATAATTAGATGGATAAATTTTGTTTCGGTACATGGTGATTCGTGATATTTTATTGCAGATTTCCGTCAGTTGAATTCAATCGTCTTTCGTTCCACAATTTGATCCACAATGATTCCACGGTTCGCCAGTGATTCGCATGATCAGCGCCACTGAAGATGCCGCCAAAATGCACAAAAGTCGTCTGCTAGTCGATGCTAGTCAGGGCATGAACACGTTCTCTTTATTAACGTCTCAAGCGTCTGAAATGTAATTTTTGTCTCAGCAAAGCGATTGAGACACGAATTTTACAATTATTATCGCAAATACAGAGAAGTACATAAACAATTTTTATTATTTATTATAATATATTATTGTAATGTCACTTCAATTCTATAATATACTGATAATTTTATAAATGATTTAGCACGAGTATTATAGATGGATCTCGATGTTACTTTCGACTGCAGTGGCAAAGTAAACGTCAACGACTGGCAGCTAAGCAGAAACGGGCTGTTTTATCACAGAGAAGTGGACAATGCACTTTTTTCGCAAACTGACTATCCCTTTTCACACATAGAAGTCAGGCTCTTCGACTGCGTCATACCTGGAGCAGTTGCCGTGATGGATCTTAAACATCTTATTAACTGCATGAAGTATTAACATTTCTTGAGAACAATATTTTCATAATTATGTTTTGAAGTCTATTGAATGAATATAATTTATAATTTTACATTATCTATAATTTTACCTTAATTTTTTCTATTCGAGGATGCAGTTGAAAATACTAAACAGACAGGAGAGGCCAGTCACAATATCTGGATCATGCAATAATGATAATATAAATTATTTTTCTCTAAGAAAGATGATTTGTGAATTTATTGTATATTTCCGTATGTATATGAACAGGTAAATGCGACGTTTTCTTATTTCTGCTATGTTTTGATTTTGCAATAATTGATTCGTTTTATATTTTGACATTATAGCATAAGGTGGGATCTTAATGCATTAGAAATAGTAATACCTGAAATCAGCAAAGACGTAGATACTCTATTTGACTGCCTTAAGTACTTTCTTAGTACACTACGTGGTATTCCAGATTCGACTCTGCATTATGCTGCTTCCAATATAGGAAATAAGGTAACTAAAGAAATTTATTGTCTTCTTGGTCAAGGAAAAACATTATTTCTGTTTCAGTGTAATCAGCCAGAATTTCATTTGTATCATATCCATATAGAGTTAAGGTGGTTCTTTATAACATTGATATTTTCAAGAACTTATTTCCAATATCACACACAGTTAGAGGAGTTGGAAACCACTGCTGAAATGATTATCAATGATCTCCTATATTCTACCTTAAAAATATTTGAAAGGGTAAAAATGATTAAAACATTTGATTTTTGTTTATATAATAATATAAACATGGTAATTATATTTCTTTTTTTTTGTTCAGTTAGCCTTAAACTGGACTATAGATCTCACACAGAGAACACCATACTGCTGCACATGCACGCGAGAATTGTGGCTCATGTTTCAAATTTTTGTCGACAGTTTAGGAGAAAGGAAGAAAATTAAGGTATTAATTAGTAATAATTTTGTAGATATGTATATTCATATAATCAAATTGTAGATGTTTTGGGATATCGTAAATAGTTGTATTGATAGGATACTAAGTAAGAATCAATCCCAAGCAATTTTCTGGCACAGAAGCGTGGACCCCTCTCTGCCAGACTGTAAGAATCCTGAATTGTTTTGCATCTGGATAATATATCATCTGTCTTTGTTGTATGGATACAGTAATGATGGCGTATACCTGCAATTTAATTCTCCAAGGGTAATTACAACATAAATTAAATTGAACTTTATAGATCGTGTAACAGATACTTTATTTACAGATTAAATCTAACTGTGAACAAGTTGAAAAGGTTCTAAAAGTATACGTATGTAAAGGTGGAAAAGATGGTGAAAGGGATGAACTTGATGTAGAACTTAAAATTATAATACCGTTGTTATTCGATCTTATTATTAACTGGTGGCAACCACGAGTACCGATTATATCTTTCCTTTGGGACTGTTTCCACAAAAGATTAGATCAACCATTCTTATTACAAACTTCTGGACCTTGGGTTCTGTCTCTTGAAAAGTATTTCCGAGTAGCTTGAACATAAATTTATGTACATAAGTTAAAAATAAATGAATAAAGTCCGAATATATATATATATTTTTTTAGGAAAACAGCTACGGATATTTTGAAGCAGATTAATGACAGAATTTATGGCAAGTTTGAACATTCCAAGGAATCCAGTTATAGTATGTTCTTGCACTTGATAGGTAAGTGGAAAATATTCTAAGTGTTGATTGTATCATGTTAAAAAATTAATCTTTTAGGTACCTTTTTGAAAAAATACGGCACATCAGACCCGAAATACTGGAATCAAATCAAGGGGCGTATATATACAAAATTTTCAAAAATTAAAGTCGCAGAATTCTCTGAAAGTGGCCTCTACAATTTCATATCTTTATTTATTACTTTAGCTATTACCGCAGATACAAACGTTGTGAGTTAAACAAATATACGATTGCTAAATTCTTTAATAACGATGTATATTAAGGTACATTTTTACAGTGTATAACAATGTTAGATCTCCTGCCATCTACGCATGAATTGAATAACGATTATAATAAAAAATGCAATTTAATCTGGAAAGGAAAACTAGCGTGTCTTTTGCTGTTTAATGAAAAAAAATTACCTCTTGGTTCCATAAGTGGACATTTTACAGAAACAGTATGCTCCATTTCTCATGTAAATTATGCAAATGTAAATCATATACATTTTTTGTAAATCTTAATTTTTTTTTAAAGATTAACTTGATAAGCTGTTGTAAGGATGAAACATCTCGTTCCATGATGATCAATTTCGTGGATGTATTGAAAACAATTTTGGATGGCAATGAGAAAATGGATCGAGGAGAGTTTAATTTTATCGGTGGTTGGATCGATCGTTATCTTTTGGAATGCCCAAAGAACAGAATTGGATCTTTATTAGAGATGATCGCGAACGTTTTCGAAAAATGTATTGTCTTGCAAGTTTCATGTAACAATTCGGGTTGGTATATCTTTGTCTTTAATTCGAATACATTAATATCGTGATTTCAGATATATTTTCAAGTTTATATGACGAAAGTACAAACACTTACTAAAATATACCTATAGATGATGCCAGAAAATTATTAGACGCACTGTGGTGTCACGTTGCATCCAGAGTTCGGCAACTCGTCTTCGATCCTGTACTCATTGGTGACAATTATAAAATAATTTCCAAACTAGCTGTCATATTCACTTTAGAGGCAGTTAGAGAACCAGCCACTGCTAAGAAGTACAAACACTCGACTATATCTTTATTCCAGCATTTTGCAACATCAATATTTTTAAAAGATATAAGGTAAAAATGTTTTATCTGAAAATCAATATCTATTGAAAATATAATAATAATAAACTATCTTTGTCTTCAGAATTACACAGTATTATTTAACATCTATTCTCGAGAATGAACAAGCTGTTCAAAATTTGAAAAAGGAAATTCCGAATTTTGATACTATTCTTATTCAAGTTTGTATATACCAATTTACTTTGTTATTACACGTTGTAAAACGATTGGAAAAGAGTTCATAAAATATGTTTTAGGCTTGGATAAAATGTTCCATTGTTGGTTACGATAGAAACAAGGAAAATATAAAAATTCTGCAAAATTACATTATCAATCTTGATGAGATCAAAGAAATATTTGTGTTGGATTATGATATGTACGAATTTAAGAACAGTGATGAACCTATTTTGACATTCATAATATCGTTTATGAAGAAACTAAATACTTTAAAGGTATTAATTTTTTTGAATCCAGCATGCTCGTACAATCCAAAAACAAATTAATACAACTGAAACATTTTACAGTCTGAGCAAGAAAAGTATCTATATAACGCAAAATGTAAGATGTATTTTAAAAATTTAGAAAAGTGGGTCATGATACCTATAACGGAGGAAACGAAAGATTCGGAACTTGCATTTTGGATTTATAGATGTCTTGGTACACTGATTCTTTGCATTTCTCCAATATTATATACTAAAGTAAATATTCTAAAGTATGTGTAATTTAATGATCTCTGCTAAAATTTTTATATTTTAAAAAAATGTTACCTTTACAGAATCAACCAAACGATATGTTAAGAACACTCATCAATAAAATTATATTGGTACCAGAAAATTCTACACAGTCGTATATAAAAGAATTAGGAAAGAAGATATTTTCGATGGTAATACTCGGACTGGAGAAACTGAATGTCAAAAGCGATATATTATTACAAGCAATGATTCGAGATATCTTCGATCAATACTTGCCGATTCTGATAATCGAAGTCAACAGCGGTTGCAGTTTTAAGGTGTCTAATACGTTATTGAAATGCTTTATGGATATAAAGAACGAATTTCTACGTTTGATTTTCGAAATGTTGATGTCAAACTTTTATAACATATCATCCGACAACGTCATGCACAAACACTCCAACTTGGTATGCAGTCGTGTAATTATTTGCTTAGTGTCACAAATGTGTTGCAAATTTATTTATTACACATTCACACAGATAACTTGGCTTATAAAAACATTGCTTAAAGAAGGAAGAAAGTATCCCAAATATATTACAGAACACATTGTCCAAATTTGTTCTCCAAGCGTCTTTGGGTGTTATATGAAGGTTCATGATCACCACCCACACAAGCTATACACAATTGATTTTATCAATGATATAATCAAAAATCCTTATTACGAGGAAGATAAATTCATCAGGTGAAAAAATATCAATATATATTATAATTTAAAAATATATATAATATGTATAATTCATAATCAATCTTCGGTTTTTCAGAGAAAAATTCCAAACTGCTATTTCTGCTGCAGTACAAAAATATTTGATCACAAATGCGCAATTTACATTTGAGTTCATACGATCTGTTTTATCGATAAAGAAAGATATTATAATTAATATATTTCCGCAAATTGAAACCATCATACTTTATGCTGAACAATATAATCGACCCAATGCAGCATCCTTGAGGTAAGAGAACAATCGTAAATCTTTAAATTATAAATAATTCTTATGTTTATATAGCATGAGATTAAAACTTATAATTTCAGATTCATGTCAAATCAATTGAAAAAGCATATGCTGAGTATGGATAATAATTCATGACAGGATCATAAAAATATATTAATAATTTAACGAGCTCTAAGTATTCTAAATAATAATAAATTTAGATTCTGTAGAGGAATTTAGATTCTTCATAATCATCGGGTATTAATTAAGAAAAGTTTGATCTTAATGCACATATAACTATTTCAATGTACATAAATTGGATTAAGTTCATATTAAGTAATACGTAATACAAGTTGATGAAATTATTATTATATTTATAACTCAATTTTGATTAAAATAAGTATATAAAGTGTAAATTATTGTCTCTTATACTAAAAATACCACAAATAATTAGATACGATACACACGTAAACTCACTCATAAATAATTGGCAATCATCGGTCTTTTTATAACATGGAATTTTTTTACAAACTGTTAAAAACAATACACCTAAATTTTCCTCGCTACTTTCGATGTGAATGCCTTGAGCGATGATGTTTCAACGACGCATTGGTTGTATTGCCTGAAGGTGATCGTCATCCAACTAATTCGAGACGGGACACGGCACTACGTACTGCATTACGTAAACTCTGTTCGGCATTACCGCTTAGTAGTGACTCCAATCTCTCGAAATAACTGTCGATATTTTGTAACGTAGCACCGTCGTGTGTGCCTATAAAAAAATTAAGTATTTATATAAATAAAATGTCAAGCTGATACGAGATCAGTGATATAATTTTTTACAGAAACTCGCCTGGAAGTGGTATAGTGGCGAAGCAGCCTGCTAGTTGAGAACGAAGAGAATCTAAATGACGCTGCAAAGCTTGATTGGTCGTTCGTTGTTGATTAGTTTCAGATTCCAAACGATTCACGGCTGCGTGCAAACTGTCCACATGTCGCTGGAGAACCGCGTTCTGAGCTTCGTAGTCAGAAGTAGCTTTCCGCAATTGTCTTAATTCAGCCTCACAAGCTATATTTTCATCATTTTAAAATTTGTCCATTTCGTTATATTTTATTGATTACTCATAATTTCTATAACTCTTTTACCTTTGTTATGATCCAAGAATTCTTCTGTAAAAATAGGGATATCGAAGCCTGTAAAGTCATTGTCCTTATCCTGTTGAACATCCTAAGTAAGAAGTTTCCATTAACATTATGATTGATTAGCCACACTTTTAAATATATTAATATCGTACATTCTGTTCGATGTTTACGTCCGTGCCGTTTCGTTCCTTCTTATTTTCATTTTGTCTTTCTGATTGTTTTTCATTAAACAGCCGGTATGCTTCTGTTTGCTTATAATCGCTAAACTCGCGATTGTAGCGTTCTTTGTCTTGTTCAGCTGCATCCAAATAATGCTGTAAATATTTATTATTTCATAAATATTACAGAGAGGTAACAAGAGATATGATAAGAAAGTAACAAACCTGCTTTTGATCAACTGGTAATTTACTCCATTCTGCAGCCAGAAGCTTTGTAATTTCTGTGAATGTTAAGCTTGGATTTTGATTTCGAACTTTCTCTCTCCGGTCGTTTAAAAATCTGCACACATGTTATATGTCGTTATAGATAGAATATTTTAATAGTATAAATATAAAGAGGGCAACGAGCCAAGTAAATTAACGAATAATTTAATTTAAACAATCATATAAACATATCTACAACAAACGTTTCGACTCCGATTGGGTCACATTTTCAATGTTACATAAATTATAAAGTATTCTAAATTAAAATATTGTGTACATTCTTCATTAAGTCAAAAATTATTCTCAATTCACTGCAAGTTTCAGTCAATATTGGTGTTGTAAGCATAATTAATCTTAGTAGAAAAAATACATATGAAAACAAGGAATTAACAATATTCTAAAACATAAAGTGTAAATATAAAAGTCTTTTACCTTGTCAATAATAAAAAATACTATTTTATACTTATTGAGCCTTATAATTATTTTTAGAATATTTTAACTTATATTAAAATACTTGTATGATTGATCATTACAGAAAGTAACCACTTAGAGGCTGTCTTGGTGCAGTGGCGTCTCTTGGGGCTTTTTTACGTTTCTTTGTTCTATTTGGTGTGTTGCCAGTGGCAGTGGCACTCCTTTTTATACCATTGTCGCACATTGAATCTGGTGCTTTCTCTTCTGTACTTACTGGAGATTTAGCTAATGAAATAGAAAAGATTAACAATTAATTTCTCAATGAATCTGTATCATCTTAATGTAGATAGAATCTTTTTGTTTAATGCACAGAAAGATTAGATCAGTGATTCAATAAAGCATGTCAAATTAGAAATTTTGCTGTATTATTCTGACAGTTGAATTACGTTAATCAAAGTCATACTAATATCTGTTTCTATGTAGATTAATTTTAATTTCAATCCAACTTACTCTTCGTCTTTTTCTAACTCTTATATCCATTTGTACTAGTCTAGTGTAATTTTAATCTCAGTTCATCAACTAATATGTTCATCTTTTTCTTATTCTAAGAATTAGAAAAAGATAAAGATAAGTTGAACCAAGATTAAATTTGATCTATATTAATACAAACAAGCATTAAAACTAAATAAAATGAAGAGTTGATTGAACCAAGATTAAATTTAATTTACATTGGTGAAAATAAGTATAAATGTGATAAGTAAACTTACCAGTGTGTTCCTCCGTTTCACCATTGTAAGTAGGCTGCTCCATCGCACCATTGCTCTCAGGTACATCATTCATTGGAGTAGTCTCACTCATTTTTCGCAATACGTCTCCAGTGCTGTTCTTACAACATAAACCCTGACGATTTCAGACTATATATCCATCATATGTTTACACAGCAAATATCTCTCTTTGAAAATCATATTTTTATATTCTCTGTAATAGCGCAAAATTATTTAGACGTGTGTAAAATGAATACTGTTATCCAATACGATACGTACCAGTATCGTATTGGAAAAAACGAAGAGCAATAATGTCAAACGAGCTCTTGAACAGATGCTTTGCGTTGAGTCGCATAAAATTTGCTTGTCACTCTATCCGCTGCGAGGTTAATTCACGGGAAATAATCAGAATTAATGGAAACTACCTAATTGCCGTCGCTCCATGCGACGAAATTTTACGTGGCGCGCTATCACGCTTGTTTGTTCGTTCGATTCTTTTTTTCTTCCTTTCGGATATCGTCCTCGACTCGGTCGACCCCAAGAACTCGAAAGTCAATCGCACGGCGTCGAAAGGCGCCTGCAGGCGCCCGGTGATAACAGCTTCCGGGTGGAACGCCACGCGTCTAGATATTTGTGCACCGTGCCCGCGTCCCACGCTGATTCGCTGCTTTGAGCCGTTTGGCAGGGTGGTGAAGTGGGGTGGAGGGAAACACTGCTTCGGAGTATTTCGGAGTAATCGGAGTTGCCGGGCTGTTCGGAGCTGTCAGGTACTGTCAGGTGAATGTTCCGGGCGAGATCCTTTATTTTTTCATCGCGTAGTAACTTAGACTCGACTGTACAAGGATGGAGTGCATTTACCGGTTACCGTTCTTAATCCTGGAAGTGCCTAATTTAAAACTAAAGAGACCATCCTGGTTCGTAAAGCCTAATGCTATGATAGTCTTCTCCTTCATACTGCTGTCGTACTTCTTGGTGACAGGAGGTTAGCCGTAAAATTCTCTCGACTTATTTATGTATTATGTTATTTATTATTATGTTATAAAAAATATATAATTTACATAATAATATATTATTTTATATAATTAAATTATTTTATACTATATTATTTTACAATGTAATTTTTTTTTATATATTCATTAGAATTTACTTATATATAATTTACAGCAATGATATTATATATGTTGTTTTATATAATTTAATACATTATAATGCTTCTAATATAATTTATCATTTATTGCTCATTTTACATGATTATATTTTATAGGAATTATATATGACGTAATTGTTGAGCCACCTAGCGTAGGATCTACGACGGATGAGCATGGTCACACGAGACCCGTAAGATTATTGTTGAGAAAACTTTAGATCTGTTCTTTTTGACTGAACTTTTGCACTAGTTCATCTTTCTTCCTTTTCTCTCCAGGAGAAGAAAAAAGGAAAATAGATGAATGCAAAAGTTTAGCCAAAAAGAACAGGCCTCTTTATTCTTCAGTGATTTGCTTTTTTAAACCAGTATGATTTTTGCAGGTAGCGTTTATGCCCTATCGTGTAAATGGACAGTATATCATGGAAGGTTTAGCCTCCAGTTTCTTGTTTACAGTAGGAGGCTTGGGATTCATCATCCTAGATCAAACACACGGTCCATCAACGCCGAAACTTAACCGAGTTCTCTTGATCTGTGTTGGATTCCTCAGCATACTTGTATCATTTACTGCATGCTGGATTTTCATGAAGATGAAACTTCCGTAAGATATTTATAGCTTTTGAGACAATCTCCGTGTATGCTATATTATTAGACAAATAATAATATTTATTTTTTTATTTTTAGTGGGTATCTGCAATCCTAAGTCATAAGCGATTGTGAATTCCACGAGATATAATGGTGAAATATCATTTTTATATCATATTGTGTAAGATATTGTGTAAGAATTATACAGGATGTTGTAACAGAGGACTGGTAATTTTTATAATAAAGTATAATATAAACACAATTGCATAGCTTTAGTATCATTTGTAATGTAGAATAAGAGATGTTATATCATTTTTACATATATATATTATAAATAAAATTATGTAAATGTGTAACAATTGAGACTAAAATTTTAAATAATATATTTCAATATAGATATTCTATTTTTAAATACTCATTATAAATATAATCCTAAAAGTTCATAATCAAGATGAATTTTCTCTTTTCCGAGTAATAGATACGAGTTGACGTATATACTGGCTTTAAGTTATCAAATTTGTGCATTCATTCAACTTCCTTACATAAGATATAGCTTTCAAAAATGTTTATTTACTGGTCTCAAAAGAAGAGGATTTTCTCTTCATTAAATTGGAGCATCATACATGTATCTCAATAATACCACTGTATGTTTGGCAGTTTTATATGGCATGTTATTTTTAAATTAAAGAATCTATATGTTTCTCGTAGTTATGTCCGTTTCTTCCATTACAACCTCAAATAAATAAGTTCGAAAATAAAAAAATCATCTGACTTAGGCCAAATATATAGAGCCTTGGCACATTCTGCAATAGCGTTGTTTTTTTTCTCTTCTGCATTAGGCCCATATCTATTATAATTATAAATTTCAATTAATATTCAGTCTTTCAAGTCTTGGCAAGTTCGTTTATAAACGAATGCGAAAACTCCTGCAAAACATTTTTAAATTATTAACGAAATTAAAAAAAACATTTTTATAATTATAATCTTATAAAGCATCTTACTTAGAAAAATCACTGCTCTTCTCTATAATGTGTTCAAATTCAGCAAAGCTAAGTGCACCATCATCATCTAAATCAGCTTCATCAAGAATATACTGAAGAAGCTGCTGCATGTCACTGTCATTTAATCTCTGGGGTGCAGTTAATCTGTCGACAACTTGCCGTAAATCTCCCACACCAAGCATATCATCCCCATCAAAATCTTAATAAATGAGATTTCATTATTAAATTGGAGATATGAAGATATGATTTCAGCAACATGAAAATTGATACCATCTGTACACTTACCAAATATTCTAAATGCATGTTCAGCCTTTACAGCTTTTGGAGCAGCATCGCTAAACACAGACATCATATCCAGAAAATCTTCAAAGGTGCAATCACCATCCTGACTGGAGCTAAAAACTTTACAGATCCTGTCGCCGAAAGGATTCACTCTCAACTCAGGATACTGCAAGATCTTGGACATAGGCAGCTTTGCGTTTTTGTTGTGTCCAACTTTTTCTGGAGCAAGCGCCTTGAATTTCTGATGTGCGCTATAAAAAGAGCAAATATTTTACATAATAATTATCAATCCAATACGATAAATTTAATAAAATGTATATATATTTAAATAAATAAAAATATCTTCACTAATAGTACTTACTATAAGACTTCCTTCTTAGTGAAATATGTTAAATCCTATCGATAAAAGTAAAACACAGTATTATTAAAAAATATTTATTAAAGTCAAAGTTAAAAATAAGCAAGAGCAAAACAAAGCAGTCATACTTGGTAATCCTGTAGCTCTTCTTCTGTAAACTGACTTTTTCCTGCACCCATCCTTGTGAAACAATCATACGATGTGTCAACAAATATACCTTGCAATCGCTTCAATTATCCTTACAAAGAAACTCGGCCATCATTAGTGCAATTAGTCAACGTTAGGTATATGCTGCTTACTAATTTGTGACATGCAGTCCCACATTACTTTTATCACAGCTGTTTTAAAGCTTAAAGGTGGCTTATTCACGGTTAAAAAATTTTATTCTCCTAACTTTTAACTGACCTGTCGATGTTCGTATTCAATTATTTCGTAATCATTGTATAATTGGATCGTTATATCGTGGAATAAACGTAGAGAAATAAATGTATGTATATGTACCATGTATCGCTCTTGCCTATGTAATTGTGCTTTTAAAGGACGCTATTTATTGATCAGCACGCCGGTGCAGCGAGTGCAAATTTGTCGGGCTTCAGTATCTCTCTTTATTTGCACTCTCTGCATTTGAAATGGGACATAGATATACATTCGATCTTTAGCGGAAGAAAGAGGCAGGAACGAAAGTGGAGAAAATGCGAGGAGATAAAGAGACACATCGGCGAAGCAGTAAAGCGGAAATTGGCGGAACTTCTGAACCATTCTATACACTTTTCAACGAGAGTGACGAGAGGTGACGATAGTAGACCAACTGAAGTTCTCATCAGTTTTGACGACAAAAGACAAACAATAGTGATGGAAAAAATCGGAAAGATCTTCAAAGATGTTTACTATGATCAGTTCAAGTGGTGAGTTTATAAGAATTATACACTTTTTCTTTGAGAAATTGCAGAATAGACCTGATGGTACTTTTGGCAACCTTAACCTCTACTCGTGTGTGTTAGATTAATTTGCTTTAATTATTTCATTAATCATTTCTCGTAAAAGAATTATTATTATTAGGTTTGTAGCTGATGAACTATTACTTATTGAACTTATATGTCCATTACAATCATCTCTCCTAATTTAGGTTAACTTTAATCTTATACTTGAATTTATTTATATCTTTTTCTAGTTTTAAGAATTAGAGAGAACATAATAAGTAAGTAAAACTAAGATTAAAGTTAATAATGTATATTAATAAAAATAGACATATTAATCCTATTCCATCCAGTTAACTTTAATTAGAGATTAACTTCAATTAACTTTAATCTTAGTTTAACTTATTGTTTATCTTTTTCTAATTCTTAGAATTAGAAAAAAGGTAAAGAGTAAATTGAATCTAGAAAATATTAACTTATATCTATAATTTCTACATCTTACAAAAATATTTCATATCCACTTTTTTTTATAGGTCGATAGTGAAGAACATTGCTTTCTTTGTCGTTGGCGTTAAGATTGCCATCGAATGCAATGGGATGACTTTAATGCCGCCAGTCTCCGTTTAAGATCATGAATCTGTTGTAAGATCCAGAGAACCATCTAAACGCTTCATCGATTTCTTGAGTCTCATACACTGATTACAATCATTGTAGGAATACAATTCAATTATCTGTATTATATATAACTGTATATTTTGTATTTGAAACATTTGTTAAAGAATTGTTAATAAATAATGTACAGTATCTGTCGTTGCATTTGCAGTATTTAAGATGACTGATCGATTTTTAATCAACCAATTATATATAAGGCTGATTTCACAAATGTTAGAGTAATCTTGATTAAATTTACATTCATTTTTTTCTTATTTAGAATTAGATAAAAAATAAGGAATAAATTGAACCGAGGTTAAAATTAATTTGTGATAGAACCGAGTTTTAATTGGTAATCACTGGTAGAACTGTTTACAATAAAGACTGCACAATTTATTGTCTTGAATCTTTCTTTTTCACATAATTCTATTTACATTACTTTTGTTAAAGACATTCAACAAATTAATCGCAAGTTAAATTAATATCCTTTTTACTCTAGAAATTCGCTTCCAGAAGCACGACCGCTCATTGAGCGCTCAATAAGCTCTTGTACCTGTTTGGTTTATATTTTTAGATCTAATGGAATATGCCAATTAGATAAAAAAGCTCATTGAGCGCTTAGTGAGCGGTCATGCTTCTGATGCACCTAGTTTCAATAAGCATTTGTATCGGTCGCTTATTATCGAAATGAAATCGATGTCTCGCCCTGTCAATGTTGCATATCGATAGTGTGACGATCGATGCAAATGTATATGTACAGGCAACTTAATTTTGAAGCGCCTCTATGTCCACAAAATGTGGACATTGAACTATGTAGCCAATGTCCACGATCGTGTCGGTAATGTCCATGATTTTTTGGTTCGAATCTTCCCTAAGTCCATTATTATCGATCCGTTAGACAAATAAAGACAGACAATCAATCGATTGTCGTTTGCTCACCCTTAATTTAAAAGATACAAGAAAATTAAGTTTTGGTATCGAATTAAAAAAAAGATTTTTTTCTTCATGCATTCGTTTGCTCATCGTTAGTTTGTTCATAAATCTTTTGAACTTAGGGTGAGCAAACGAAAATTCCAACTGAGAATTCGTGAATAAATGATCAGCAAACAAATGCATGAAGAAAAGAATCGATTTTTTAATACTGGGAGGCCAGTTTCACACGGGTGAAGAGCGAACAGTCACCGTTCATCTCACCATGGCTCGTGTAGATAGATATAGCTCTAGCTCTACTGGTCATTTCTTTTTGAAACGTATTCGTAATAAATATTAAATAATATGAAACGTTGTTCCTAAGATTTCAAAAACTCAAAATATTAAATTAGAAATATAAGTCAGAAAATTTTTTTATTTTAAAATAATAAATAATATTAAATAACTGCTCAATCTTTTTTTTTATTTAAATAATTCAAACACACACACACACACAC